TATATTATTTATATTTATATTTATATTATTTATATTTATATTTATATTATTTATATTTATATTTATATTTATATTTATTTATTAAAGCATATGTTTTTTATGAGGGGTAGTCAGCGTTACGAAAATTATAGAAGGGGTACACATATGTCAAAAGTTTGGGAAACACTGATTTAGAGGCATGGAAATAATAGGAATTATATTATTACATACACAACAATGTATGAAATCACAGCTGTCAGTTTCTTAGTTTTCATACACAAGTTCTTTCCAAGAATCTAGGATTCATAATGTATCAGTGCATTATTATTGTTACTGTAGTTAATCTACATTTTGATTTACAGTCTGGGGCTGGTAAAAACTTAACAGTTCAAGTCCTAACCAAGGACCAAAGAGCTGTTAAGGTAGGGTCTGAGTATTTAGACAGTTCTGAGTAAGGTTGGTTTTTTACAAATCATGACATTCAAGAATAAGTTCACAATTTCCATGTATCGAGGCATCCCTTTGGGTATTGCTCCAAGGGCTCCTATTACTATTGATACATTATTATTATTGTTGTTGTTATTAATAGTAGTATTTCATGCCAGAACTTGGAATTATTTTGAGATGTAATTTTCTTGAGAAATTGCAGCTATTTAAACAACAGCAATAACTAGTGTTCAATTTTGGCAATCTAATAGTGCTGTTGGTATCTGAAGGAACATATTGCCAACTCTGGCCTTACAGAGGTTCTGGGAATGTCACGATTAAGTGAAGATTTTAAGATAATTTTTATATCCAACATTTGAGACACATTGTGTTATTTGATGCATTTTTACTTAGATGTCAAAGGGAATTTAATGAAGCTTATATTCAGGTAAATGGATATAGGATTATGACAGTTATCTCAAATTCTAATTCTATTGTACCACATTCAATAGAGGTCATGGGAAACTGTCTATTAATTGCAAGTCTTCCCTTTGAGAAATAAAGCAGGTAGAAGAAAGGAATAAATGGGTATGGGGGGGTCTCTTCTTTCCACCTCCCTTTTCTTTTCACTTTCCAGTATTTTACAGCATTTTCTTTTAATACCAAAAATGAAATAAAGAAGAAATTAATTCCCAGAAAAAGCAAAGAAATGGGCAAGAGTAAGAGCCATCACCTACATGACCTTTTTAATGTAAACAAAACAAAACAAAAACAAAACTTCCTTTCACTTTTTTCAGTGAATAAATTATCTCCCTTCCTCTGAAATTTTGGTCAGCCTTCTATCACAAATTCGTTTTCTGGCTTTCTTAAAAGTTAGTCATTGCTCATCCACAATATCTGCACAATGATGCAGTGAGGAACTCTAGACCCTAGATGTAATGATCTTATTTGAGAAAGAGGCTCTTATATAGTAATGCACACATACAGTCCATACATACCATACATACATACATACATACATACATACATACATACATACCTAAATACATACATACGTACATATGTCTTTGGAACAACTTTCTGGAAGTCTCAGATAAGATATTTTACATGCTAGAGTTTACTCAATTTCAAAAGTAGGCTGGACATAGCTTACAAAAACAGAGGACAATACTGATCCAGGAGAAGACTGTTCTCACTTGCCTTTATCTGGCAGTTCACCTCCATATCTTTGGAAGTGTAGTTTTTTGCTCTTTGTGCTGCCTTATGTCTCCGTCCCATGGCCTCCCTCAGATGTGGATCTGAAGGGAACTCAGCTGGGTAACTGAGTTGCATGTCAGAAGAGTGAGCCCACACCATTTTCAATTTTGCTCCTCCTGGTCTTCCTGGTTCTGGGTAATGTGGCCAGATGGCCTTGCCCCTCTATGAACCCGCCCAGAAGCTGGCTCAGAATGGGTTGTCATGGCAGAGAGGAGGCTCTCTTCCCCAGGGTGAAGGATGAAAATTTTATGGCTCTCCCACTCCCAGGCCCTTGGCAAAAGGGGCTATTTTTCCCAGCTTGGTAAAGCTGAGAAGAAGAAGGATGTTGGTCAGCAGCTGAAGTCATAATGATGCTTCCTGGAGTACTGCTGTGACATATTGGCTTGCCTCAGAATCAATAGGGCTCATTCAAGGCTTGACTGTTGGACAACAGTTGTAGAAGAATGAAGTTACAAAGAGCTTGGCACACAAGAAGGCTTAATTTAATTGGTGTAACTTGCCTTCAAAACAAATTCTTCCATCTTCTCCATGGCATGCTGGGCCTGAAGTGGCAACATCAAGACCCGCACAGGATCTGGACCAGTGTCTTCCTCCTCTAACTCTGGATCGTCTGATCCCCAGCCTGTGGGCTCAACCTTCATTTCAATACCATCCTGAAAAAGAAGATGCATACACTGGCCAATGGAATTTTATAGATAGAAAGAGAGAATCTGAGAAGAGATAGGAGGAGTGAAGGAAAACCAGGAATAACATTTCCCTTTTATGCTATATAGTGCAGTACTCTGCTGATAGATTAACAAAGAGGCTCAAGGTCCTTTCCCTCTTAATGCAAGGGATAAAGAATAAAGCTCAAAATAAGATAAAGAGCTTCCTCCTTCAAAGAATCACAACCAAGAACAGTTGGTTTAGATTTGGCCTGCAGGGCTACCCTATCAACGAGCCACTAGATTCAGAGCACTGAGAATCACCTCTAATTATGAGCTTGCAATCCACCTCTGTGGACATGCTAGCTTTACATCTGATCTGCTGGACATGGTGTTTGTAATTCTACTGTTAGAAGCAGAAGACAGAACAATGGAACTGATGCTCAAGTGATTCCATAAGCCAGACAGAAACATTAGTAGCAAGTGTTGCTCTGGCCATATTTTCAGCTTTGAGTTACTATTGTACTTTTCTTGAAACTTCAGCCCAGCAAAGCCATTTTCACATTCTTAGACAAATGTAATTGGCCTTATTGAACAGAGTTTGGACCATGATGACTGCACACAAAGGAAAGATGCAGAAGAGAGGAATAAGAAGAGAGAGACCCAATGAGTGGTTCTCCTGATACTCACCTGGCTAGCGTTCTCTTGTAACAAAGGTCTCATTTCAGCCACAGCCTCCTCCCCCAGGTACCCTGCGCACCACCCAGCCCGCTCCTTCAAGGGCTCCATGATGGGGGAGGAGGGGGGGCATACAGTTGAAGCCTCTTCACAGGCAGAGGCTCAGTCCCCTCTGCAAGCCACCAGCCCCATCGTCCCCACTGTCTCTGTGAGAAAGCAGAGGGGGTAAGGGATGCAGAGGGATGAATCTCTGAATCCTTCTGTTCTCCTTCTCACCTGGTGATCTGCCATTTCTCCCCCTTCAGCTCCGACTTCCCAAACCACCCTGCATGCTTATCCACAAGAGCCATGCTTGACTTCCTACCCCCACAAAAAAATCTCTACCTCTCTTCAGTTTAGCTGTTTCCCCAGTCTCTTTTTTAAATCCTTCTAACCCCTACCATCCTATCATTCCTTGTCCCTCTAAAATTTCATAACCTGCTCCCTAGTTGTATTGATTTGAACTATAAATATTGGTACTCTCCACCCTAACAATTTATGATAATTGCTTGACACCTATCCTTGCTCCCAGCAAAGGGTTGGTTGGGGAGAGTTTTTTCCCCCTAGATTCCTAATATGGTACAGATAAGCAGTGCCACCCCATAGTTGACTTCCCAAAAGGGGGCAATAGACAATCTCCTGAAGATTTGTAAGTGGAATCCAAGGAATAGAAGCTTCTCTATAACCATTCCTTGGTCTCCCTTACTTGCTATCCAAGCATGGTTCATAATATCTATCTACTCATCAACCCTCACAAAAACCACTATTTGGATATTTCCTTCTGTCCCATAGCATCCCTGGCCCTACTTCTTCCTCGTCCCCATCCCCTTGAGGCCCTCCCAAATACTTCTGCCCTCCCTTCCCCTCTCCATCGCTCCATCACCTTTCTTTCCATTCTATTCTCCCAGCCCCTTCATTATACCCTCACCCAAGAGCCCTAGCAGCAGCATCGGGACCCAGCTGCCCCTTAAAACCCCGCCTCCCGCTCCGATAAGCTTCGGCACCTGCCCATCAAATTGGGATCACTTCCTGCCAGATGCCGAGCATCCTCGCTTGCTTGGATTGGGCAGTGCGTGGGGGTGGGGGGGGGGAAGAATCAGGTGCAGATAACTTCCGGCTGATACTGGAAGCCTTCCTTTCATTGTTGCCATGGTGACCCTTAAAGAGCTACATGCCCCTTTGTTTTTCTAGCGTTCGACAAGAAAAGGGGGGGGGCGCAAATCGTTTTGCAGCTACTGGGGTGCAAAAGGGGAGGACCGCCTTTTGCCTCCCGTGCAGAAGTTAATAAGCTTGCGAAAGGTCGGGACGTTTAATCTCGGGCACGGGTTTGGGGGTCTGCCCGCAGAAATCGCGTGGAAGATTTCTGTGCGTGGATAACCCCGTTTTTTTACGAGGAAAGCGATGCGTGTCGATATCGCCGTGTGCTTACGCGTATATCTCGATGCAGGTGCACAATTGAATTGAGGCAGGTTGAAATGCACCTGCGCAGGTTGCTTATGCTTGTATCTGGGAAAGTTAGACACAATTCCCAAGTCTTCTTCATGAATCTCCTTTAATCTCGTGGGAAGTCATCTGTACGAATCAACCGAAGCCCTTGTTCTCCACTGATCACACTCCAGGACTGGCAATGAAGGCAGCCCGATGGGATCCTTTGGAACAGGGGTCTCCAACCTTGGCAACTTTATAGCGGACTTCAACTCTCAGCAAAGCTGGCTGGGGAATTCTGAGAGTTGACGTCCGCCAGACTTAAAGTTGCCAAGGTTGGATCCCCCTGCTTTGTAAGACCCATTCGATTTCCACTAGAGTTGTAATTCTTCTCAAGCCCTAGAAACTTTTAAGATGCGTGGACATCAACTTCCAGAAATCCCCAGCCAGCACGTTGGCTGTGCAAAGCCGGGAGTTGAAATCCGCGCATTGCAAAGCTGCTGAGAAAGTTGTTGAGAAACGCTGCATAACAATGAAACTAATAGTGATTTT